AGCACTGGAGAGCACACTTTTCCTGCGTCCTCGTTTTGGCCGCAACAATACCGGAGTTCCCCGATCATCGTCTGAAATAATACGCTAACTGTATTAAACAAAATATATCTCATCGTTATTGAATAAGAACAACAACTACGAATTATATGCACAAAAAATAATTCATATATTTTAAAGAATTCCTAGAAAGTCCAGTGCATCTATACTGCTTCTCGCAGTACACGTAGAGAGTTCATAAGAACTCTCCCAAATCATTTTTCCTCTATTTACTGATCTTTAATAAGAACAACCAGGAGCCGAATGTTATGACATAAATAGCATCCACTCTCCTCTGCATTATGCAGTTTCGAAAAGATAACTTTAATGAATTTTTCAATTTCCTTCGGCTAATTCCTTTCACACATGCTTAGTAACATGCAGCATTATAAAACACGAAATGAAAAAAGCAAGAAAACAACCTACTGCCGCCAACACCTAAAAACAGGGGCTGTAAAATGTCACTAAAAAAAAAAAACGATGCCACTTTACCAGTACGTCATACAAGTTTTTATTAACAAATAGCTCATATCGAAAATTTCCGCTAAAACTTCTGCCAAAGTGTTCGATGGAACGAAGAGAGCAGGGGAAGAGAAAGAAAGGATTCTTTTGAAACGAAAGCAAAACAACAGACGCATGTACCATTTCCTGATCGTAGAAATACAGAATTTTTGTTGAAAACAACAGCAGAGTGTGATAACAAGGAATTACCAGAATCTTCCAGAAGTTCGGTCGAAGCAGCGCCGTTCCACTTTTTCGTTTGAAGAGTGGTGTATATTTCAGCGACACGCCTCAGCAGCGTTTTTTCTTCAGGCCTGATGATCTGTAATGCGGTAGGATCGGATAATCTCACAGTCTCGGTGTATGTGCAGATACAAAAGACAATTTTTGCAACTCATTCAACTGAAGTTTTTCCAATAACCTTTTGAAAAGCTGGTTTGTTGACGATATTTGCGGAGATGTTGTCAAGGCCATTTTCGTCCACAACTTTGAACAATTCTTCGTCCTGCTCAACAGACCAACCACTAGGCATTGCCTCATTGGAGCACAACTTTAATAGTGCCCGTCGGTCTATA